TGTCGTCATCAGTATCCTAAAGTGTCGTCATCAGTATCCTAAAGTGTTTGCGATGAGAGCAACACCTGCAGAAACTTCTTATCAAACGAAGCACGTGATCTGAATCTGCAAATGATTAACTGTGGAAGTCAGCCGCCTCCACAGGTGAGAACTTCTCAAACAGAACCCGAGCTCAGTCAGACAGTTTTTAAGATCTTAAACTCATATTTGTTGTGGTAGTAGCTGAGAGTCATCCCCAACACTGGCATTATCTGCTTGTAAAACTTTGCCTTTATTGGAGTCAACTGTGTTTGTCTGTTAGCAAAATATCTCCAGAAACACTAGATGGACTTTAGTGAAAAATTTCAGAAATCAATCACTGGGTGTTCTCTAAATCATCACTCTACTGTGATTTAAAATTTTAGCTCAGTGCAAATCGACTCAACCACCTCAGCCAGTCAGTTTTACAGATAATGAGGTAGAATGTGGTACGATAGTGCTGAGCATCATCCCAATAGCACTCTGCATTGTGCAGGATTGTTGCTTAAAACTTTAACTCAGTAAATTTTACAGATGTTGAGCTAAAAGTTGGCGTGGTAGTAGCTGAGAGTCCTCTTAATCACACACTCTGAGCACTAACACATGTCGTGAGATCTCACAATATTGGATGAGCTCACTTATAATATTATTTAAAAGGTTTTACTATATTAATTATAATTCTGTCTCGGCATAAAATGATTGTACTGTGAAACTCTGGGTTGAAAGGCGATAGACGTTCCTTCAGAGGCCACTGTGGTCCAGTGCTACAAGAGTGGACCAAATGCAAACGTCCCTCATGACCGAGTTTCTTGATAATGTGTAAATGATGAGCTCATCATTGAGTTTGTGATGCGTTGATGGGGACAGGTGCACAAAAGACACACTTTGTAAAGCAGGAAGGAGTGGGTCTGAAAGGAGGACTGGTGAAAGGAAAGAGTCTGGATGAGAAAAGAAGCCACAGAGAAGTGGAGAGAACACGCCTGCTGGCGTCCTGTCTGGACTCATTACGTTGTCGTCGGCTGATATCGCACCAACACACAGCGAGATAACCGGCACTTCCTGTCCTCTTCTGTCAGCTTGAGTACTTGTCTGTGCTTTTCTTGCATCTTTCTATTTCTACACCGTGGCCTAATGTAGCTTTTACTTTTAAACAGGTGACTGCAAAACGTCAGGATCCACATACCTGTTGCATAATCTTCAATACAGAGCAAGAAATGGCAACACACAGGCCTTTAAAGTAATAGCCCTTTGCCACCTTTTCTCAAACTCATAATGTTCGTAGAATTGGACTTATTCACTTTTTAAACTAGTCTGCATTAAACTACTTTGTATTTTTCAGCTCATTTTGACTTACTTTCATACTCGGTCGTTTTAAAGGAACAGTAAATGTAGCGTTGCTGTTTTCGAGACGATAGAAATGAGTGAAAGTGTTTTCGGTGACGTTGACGATAAATGCAGCTCAAACGTTCCTGTTTCTTCTTCTCCACCGGTGTTTCTGTAGGTGGGACTGAGTCAGACGCTATTTTCTATCGTTTCCAAAATTAACAGACTTTGGCTGACACCGTCAGAGTAATTTATACACTTTTTATATATTTTTTATTTTAATCAGCAGTTTTATTGCACCTGTCAGTCTGTAAAAGTCTCTTACTTTTTAATATTGACCTGTTCAGGACCACTTTAAAGAAAAAAGAGACGAATATACAGCTGCCTCACTAACTTAATGTTATTTAATGAAAGGAAGAGAAAGAAAAGAAGATGGATGTTTCAAAGTTTTTAACTCATAATATAATAGACATTGCCCACTGACTTAGAAAATGAGGGGTAATCATGCCATTGTCTTTATTTGTCTGTCTGTTAGCAAAATATTTCATGAACCAGTGAACAAATTTTAAGTATTTTCATTTAAAGTATTATATTAACAAGTATTAGTTGTATTTTATTTACAAGGATTCATTTGATAGACATCTACAACTGGCTAACTTATGGAGTCAACCAGATTCAAGATGGCCGCCACAAGTACGGTAATTGAACTTGGCCTACGCAAAAATAGCTACAACCCAAGTACAGTAATCTCTCGTTTATCACGGGGGATCCGTACCCTGAAGCCCCGCGATAAATGAAAAAATGTGTAATAGGAATAGCAGTACAAGTAGTAAGTTGTACTTTATTTAATGTGGTGTTTTAACATCTTCCCACACTCTTGCAATATTCTAAACAATGTTTCTAAACTGTAATTGCTCTAAAAGAGCACAGCATGTCATGATTTCAACTCTCCACCTCCTGCTGCACTCTGCCAGCACTCTTGGCCACGCCCACTTTTCTGCTGCAGAACGGAGATCTGACACTGCTTGAAGAAGCTTCTTCTGCAGCTGTGGGCTGCACACAGGTGCTAAATAATTTTAAATGCTTTATTTTAAATAAAAATTCCATGTCGATGTGCGTTAATCCATCAATCGAGTGTCATGTCCAATCTTGTTTTGAAAAACCGCGATAGAGCGAGTCCGCGAAAAACGAACCGCAAAGTAGCGAGGGACTACTGTAATTTTATGTATCACACAATATCTTTGTTGAAAACTTTATTGTGCAAGGTAGCCGATATGCATTAAACAGTGAAATTCTTCTTTTTTATTAATAAATTTGTTTTAATATTTAAAATTATAAATATATAGTTTTTTATTCACACAGGAAGCTTTCGTAATGAGTTGTTCATAATTAACTTTGGTCCAACTGGTGACCTGCACAAGTAGCTTTTTACTGTTTTATACTTGATACATACAGTAATTAAAACACTAGCCTCTTACCAGAAAATGTAATTTTACCTCATTTCCTGTTGAAGTAAACTGAAGTACAGTGTTATAAATCATGACTTTAGGTTTGTGCTTTTGAAATATTTATTTAGTCATAACATTTTCATTAACTTATACATATAAATTCATTCATAACTGATGCATTTTACCATCACTGACACAGTTTTTACTGTTAATCTTCCTCTATGGTTGTTAGTCTTCTGAAGTGTGTTCATTCCCTTTGGTCACTGAAAAAATGACTAGAAAACGCCACATTTGATGAATATATAAATAAACTGCCTGGTAAAGTACCCATAATAACATGCAAACTGTAATGTAAATGCAATGTAAAACATGTTTTAGATCATGGATATGATAGAATTAGGATTCAAAGTCGAGCATTAATCAGCATGACGCATTTTGTGTTGTACACCAGCTGGTTTAGGTTCATTAGGAGCTACTCTTAAAAAATGTGATCAGTGTGACTGATTCACATATATTTATTAACCAATCATCAAGTAATGATTCATTATAGAACCTCTCATTCATTCATGTTTGATTATTTTCTATAAAAAATTATTATTAAAGAAAAATGTTACGATTCAGCGGTTGTGTACACAGTATAGTTCTCCGTTGCAAATGAAGTAAATTGATTAATTTCATGAATTAGCTGCTGTGCGATGTGGACGAGGCCGACGTGTGACAGTGTCCACAGTAATGGATGAAGACATCACAGCTCCGGGATCTTCATCTGGATGCTGTCAGCCATCAGCGTAACACTGTTGTAAACATGAAGCCTGTCTGTACCCGAGTTATCTAAATACAGTTACTAACCCAGGCCAAAGAGAACAACTCAGCATGTAGCTTGATTTAAAACAGCAGCTTTTTAAGTATATATATTTATATATATTTTTAATTGTTCAGCTTTGCCATCCAAGCTGAAAAGGTAAATTAAAGGTAAACATAAATGATGTCATGACTAAAGCAGGTGTATTTGTTTTTGTATTTCCAGTCTTTGTTTAAAGCAAACCAGCTGCTACCTTCAGTTTTATATCTACATTATATTTCTTCTTATTCTTCTTCTTTCAGCTTTTCCCTCTTCAGGGGTAGACACAGCGAGTCATCTCCTCCATCTCACTCTGTCCTCTGCATCTTCTGTCCTCACTCCAACTACTTCCATGTCCTCTCTCACTGCATCTCTACTGCGATAGGTGAAAAACCGTGAAGTAGGAACACTATGCTTATTTTAGGGTTTATATGTATTTTAAAGCTTTCTAAACCCTTCCCACACTCTTGCAATGTTCTTAAGAATGTTATAAACTCTTAAACCTACATAACTTTAACAACATACATATATACAGTACTGCAAAATTTTATATGGGTTCTCACCAGTGAACATGCTACAACTTGAAGGATGAGTTCAACTTCAGGATTATTTGTGACTTTCCTGCCAGTTCTGTGAGCGTAATAGATACATCGTTACTTCTGACTTTATGTTGCAAAACTATTTTTACCACATCGGTTTCTCTGCTGGTGTTTGCTACCTCCATTGCTGTTTTATGAATTTCGTCAGAAAGCAGCTTCTGTCTGGAAGCACTGTTGGCTTCTGGGCCATGTAGTTCTTTTGACTTGAAATTACAGTATAGGCTTATTGAAAGAAAACTACAAAATGGAGGCACCTGTTCAAAGTACATTTGGTTTGGTTTCCCCGCTAGTCTTTGCTCCCTCCAATGCAGTTCTATGAATTTCATCAGAAAGCAGCAGCTGGAAGCACTGTTGGCTTCTGGGCAGTGTAGTTCTTTTGACTTAACTTACAGTGAAGGCTTACTGAAAGAAAACTACAAAATGGCAGGC